GGATATATGGGCTTCATTTATAGTTTGATTAATTGTTTTGAGTTAGATTAAAACACCAAAAAGGTAATCCCACAATTCCTAAGTACGTTACACAAATGCCGTAGATGATGATAGTGACAATGTAATCCATTGAAAATGAATAGAGGGGGTAAGTTTCTAAAGAAACTGTGGTGCTGCGTCGGTGGGAGAGTATAGCGGGTAATTCAACGTTGACAACTGAGTTGAAAACGTAAATTGGCCACCGTAAAAAGTGAAAAAGCTGAAATAATAGGCGATTTCTCCAATCGCTCTGACGAGGGGCTAGCGCTCGAAACGTCAGCAAGGTATTATAAGTTATCACTGCTTTACTTTTTATTATCGTCTTGTCGTGTGTCAGTGAGTACTTTTCAAATTTTAATTCCACCTAAACGACAACTGAAAATAAACTAATCAATGGAGAAATTTTCCGTATTTACATATTGCCTCATCTAAATAATCTGGAGGACTGGGTGAACTCGTGACAATTGCGTATACCAAGACGAAGTCGAAGGTTTGGATAAAAGTTTGAGGAATTCTCCAAACCCACCTAATATTTACACGAGGCTCTGTAATTAAACATAAAAGGTCTTCCACTGCATTCCGTTTAACATATTTAGCAAAAAATACCAATCCATGTAGCCTTGTAGGTATTGACATACTCTCGTCAAAACACGCTGGTTATCGACTAATGAAAGTGTGCCTAGTATCTCTGTGGCTTTACAAGGCTTAATGCATTACTGAGACGGGACTCCATAATAAAAGCGATTCTAAAACAGACCATATATGTTAGAAGAACTTTCAATTTTTACACAAAAATGATGTTCACGATGTATACCGTGACTCTTAATTGACTCTTTATGCGCCAGTTTTATTCCGCTTTGGAGACTTATTTGTTAGTGTCTGTCTACATCGATGTAGACGGAGTAACAAATAACATTCTCTAGTTACACTACAAAATTTATTGGTATAGACTATGAGCTGTTATGAATTACAATTAGTCAGGGGAGAGAAGACATAAAAAAAGGCATGTTTTTAAAATTTAAATATGTGTATAAAAAAGGCTGGATAAAATGTGTAGTTTTGGAGTGCCTCGAAAAGAATTGATTCACGCTATTTCCTAACAAAACATTTAAAATACTACTCTAAAATAACACTGCGTACAGCCACGATCTCCACGTCAACTGATTTAATCAAAGTCATTAAATATTTAAGGTTTGCAAATACGACCCTAACTTTTAATCATTGTTGTGCCCTAACAATAGAGGAGTTTCGTACATACAGTGACCACCTGCAGCATGATATGTTAAAAGACTCCTTCTTTGTACAACGTCTTCATTAAAGCTCATTAAAACCTTGAAAGTTGAAAGGAGACCAACGTCCACTTGTTAGCCTCAATAAACATTCAAACATCCTTTGTGTCATAATTATATCACAGAGCAATGGAATAAAAAGTAGAAAAAAAGAAAGGAAATCAAAAAAGTCTTTATGCAAAAGGAAAGTTATCATGGAGACTTAGGAAAGAGATGTATGAATACGGGCAGGCTTAAGCTTTACGACATTCTGGTCAAAAATTTATTGCTCAAGGAATGGGATATGGATAATGGGGTGGCGAAATAATAACGTGCGAAAACAAATTCTAAAGGCATTCTTCCTAAAATCAATGAGAGAGATTTTAATCATGATTCATGTCATTGTAGTTTTTGGCAAAAAGTTAATTTATCACGCAACATTTCGACTTCACCTTGATATCACTCACAGTCAAGAAATAGATTATGCTGCGTTGATATGTGTCAGCCTATCGGACTGTGAAGTCTTTGAGTTTATAATCGCCTTTATCATTCATTAACTTATACATCTGTCGTAGTTATGCCCCGGGGCACGTTTGTCGAAAACCCAGTTAACATCATAGATCCCAAGCCATAATTTAAAGTTCTCAAATTGAGGAATATTATTCTGGGTCTTGGTCTAAAGATAAACAAATAGTTTAATCTGATCGAACTTTTGAATTTTAAAGCGATTGAATGTAAACACAACTAATAAATTAAGCTTTGTGGATTTGAATCTACAAGGACTTTCGAGAAACAGGTCCCTGGTTTCTAAACTCGCTTCGGTTTTTATTCAGCTAAGTTTGCGAGTTGACCCCAAAAAACGTCGAGACAAATAATCGACGATTCTGAGGATAACCCGTAATCGCCAGATTCATCATGTTATTTATTGTTGTAACAATTTCATTTCTTCTCAAGAATACTCATATCCGGTATTCGTTGATGACCTCGATATTTGGTTTTTTCGTGGCATATGTCCAAAATTCTGCCAAGTAGCTAAACAGAAAAAGGAAAATCTCCCCCCCGCTATTTAACCTGGTTTGCATTTTGCATTGTTAAATCAACAGCAGCAGAAAAATCTAAATTTAAGAGATCGAACAGCGTAAGCTTCACCTTCGGCAGCTTTTATTATCTTTTGGTAATTACTATCATCATACGCATTCCTTCCACAAAATTTCCGGTGCTAGTTACGATCGTATCTCGCTAATATTTTTGAGAGGGTGCTCATTTCTATGGCACACCCTTTTAAATGAAACCGTTTTTCCCTTTCTTTCGCACCTTCTCTCACAATC